TTCGCTGCCTCTCCCTTCCCAGGGACTTGGCCATCTGTTTTCCTGGAATGAAGTCACTTGGGCATGGTAGGTGCTGGTGGCATTCAGGGAGCATGGATGAGGGGTTAAGAGTAGAGCAGTAAAACCTGGATCTAGATCCAGACAGTGAACACCCCAAAGCTCAAACCCTTTCTTGCAGCAGGGGTCACCTGGAAAGCTGGGCTCTGGATTTGAATCTCAGTCCCCCACAAAGTTTGGGGGCTACTCAGATTTGTGGGTTTGTGTTGGGCCCTGCCTCTGTACGCAGTCAGGAATTTGATGACCTGCCACCAGCTTCCTCAGCTCGGAATCCATCCGGTCTTAGATGGGATGGGAGGCAAAGGGACACCTTAGAGAAGGTTGGCAGCTGTCCTGTAAAACAGGGACTGGAGGGGGAAGAGTTGATCCTATGGATCTCTTCAGACAGGGCTCAGGAGTGAATACAGTCCATTAAAGTTGAGTGGAGGAATGTGGCAAGCCAGGAAAGGTGGGATGGGGCTAGACGGGTGGTCTGATCTGTTCAACTGAAGATCCAAACTGGATCCCAATGTGACTGGACTTGGACTCGGAAGTGATTGTGTCCCACGTATGCAAAACCACACAAGTGCCTTTACACAGAGATTGACACAACTCCACATAGTCACAGCAACCTGTGCCTATATGACTGCTAGGGCTGGTTGGGAAATCTGTTTTATTTCATGCAAAAAATTCAATTAAAGCAAAAGCGTTTCATTGTCATTTAAATTTTTCACTGAGTTTTGGCGTTTTCATTTCTTTGATGAAATCAAAAAAATTTCCACAAAAACAGACATTTGGTTGAGGAATTCTTCAACGAAAAATTTTCAACTAGTGCTGTCAGTGGCACACAGAGATTAAATAGAGCTACACACAGTGTTTGCCGGAGCTCCACGCAGGCTGGGGCTGCTTTGAACTGCAGCAATGGCTCCCAACAGCCTAGAAGCCAGCTTAACCAGCTACCTGGGGTCTCCTCCGTGTGGGGGCCATGACTGGGGAAAAGGAGGCATGGCCTCTACACTTAGTCTCCAGTGATTCCTGCTGTGGATGGGCGCAGACATCCACACAACTACACACAGACCCACTGCAGCCCAATACAGCTACACACAGACCATGGCAGACAACAAACAGCACAGCTATGCACAGACCCATGGCAGACAATAGCATAGCTACACGCGGACCCACTGCAGACCAACATAGCTACACACAGACCCACAGCAGACATCCACACACAACTACACACAGACCTACTATAGACCAATACAACTCCACACAGACCTACTATATACATCCACACAGACCCACTGCAGGCCAATACAACTACATATGAACCCATTAGAGACATCTACACACCTACACACAGGCCCCCTGCAGACCAATATGGCTACACACAGATCACGGCAGACAACACAATGACACCCGGACCCACTGCGCAGACAGCCACACAACTACACGCAGACTCACTGCAGACAGCCGCACAACGACACACGGGCCCACTGTGGACATGAACGCAACCGCATGCAGATTCATTGCTGCACACAGGCACTGACAGGACTACATATGACTACTGCACCACAGCTACACATAGACAGAGTGTCATGACTACACACCCACCCCACTGTCACCTACAAAGACTCGAGTAGTTGCACACAATTTCACAGGACTCACACAACTGCACACACTTGCTCATCCACAGAGAAGGCCGTGCATGCCCACTGGAATACACAGTCTTCATCACACAACATCATACTCACTGATGCTGCTGAGCATGAGTGTCAGCTGGCACAGCCATAGTTCCTCCCAGACTCACCACCCTGCAGCCCCTCCCAGGGGCTCCCAGGCCCAGGTGCCTCCTCCCAAGCTCTCGTTTTCTTTCCGTAGTCCCCTGGCTCATCCCTCCCTGCCCGCTTTTTGGGATGAGGCTTGTAACAGAGCCCTGGATGGGAGATGATGAAGATGGAGCAGGCCAGTCTGTCTGACACACCTGAGACGTGGCCCGGGCCGCTGCTTCTGGAAGCCCTGTACCGCTCTTGGACAGGCAGCGACTACTCTAACTTCATTACAGACGACGCCATTGGAAAGCACATCACACACACTCGTACAGATCCACCCATGCCTGCATGGAGCCTCATATCATGACACGCATGTGTTACATATCTACCCATTGGTATCTACACAGACACTGTTATGTGAGCAGTCACACACACACACACATATACACACATCTATGCACTGGTACGAGTGAAGTCACCAGAAAACACACATCTTCACAGGCTCACAGATACATAAGGTATAGCAAGCCATGGGGGCACGCACACCTTCACACACTGGTATGTGTGCAATCACCAGCACACACACACACACATATATCTGTACTGGCCTACCTATAAATACTGCACATCAATCCAGGGTGCGTGGAACACTAGCACAAATCTATGCACTGGTATGTGTGAACACACACCTTCATGAACACACACACACACCTGCCTAGCCTCTCACATGCATACTGTACATCTAGAATGTGCATGCACAATTGCAGATCTCTGTGCCCATAATCACATAGATGCATATTATAACTGAATAATAAAAAGCCTGCCTCACAGACATTTTTGTGAATAAAAGCCCCCTGGTGCATTCACTGTGATTTGTGGGGTCAGATTATTTATTATTCATGACTGTTCAGTCAACCATTGGCTGCAAATGCTCTCAAAAGTTCAGCAATGATTGGTCTCAGGATTTGTATGGGGTAAGTGCACAATTCACTCTTGAGCCTTCCCTTGTTTAAAAAGTTTCTGGCACTCAGCCAGAGTGCAGAAACAGTACCATGTGACTTAGGTGACCAGCTTCACTAGATGCATGGTGAATAGCTGAAGAAGCATCCCATAGGCTGAAAATGATACGGTCCACATGATTCGACATAAACTTCCTAATAATGAAAAAAATGGGATCAGTTCACTAACAGCTGGATGACTAAACAAAGAGCTATGATAGTAACCAATCTCATCTGGGAAAAGGCTACAGAATTGCATGAATAATGAGAACCTCTCTATCAGGTTTCCGAGTAGCAGCCGTGTTAGTCTGTATCCGCAAAAAGAAAAGGAGTACGAGTGGCACCTTAGAGACTAGCACATTTATTTGAGCATAAGCTTTCGTGAGCTACAGCTCACTTCATCGGATGCATACCGTGGAAAATACAGTGGGGAGATTTATATACATAGAGAACATGAAACAACAGGTGTTACCATACACACTGTAAGGAGAGTGATCAGGTAAGGTGAGCTATTACCAGCAGGAGAGAAAAAAACCTTTTGTAGTGATAATCAAGGTGGGCCATTTCCAGCAGTTGACAAGAATGTCTGAGGAACAGTGGGGAGGGGAGGGAATAAACATGGGGAAATAGTTTTACTTTGTGCAATGACTCAACCACTCCCAGTCTTTATTTCAAGCCTAATGTAATGGTGTCCAGTTTGCAAATTAATTCCAGTTCAGCAGTCTCTCGTTGGAGTCTGTTTTTGAAGGTTTTTTGTTGAAGAATTGCAACCTTTAGGTCTGTAATTGAGTGACCAGAGAGATTGAAGTGTTCTCCGGCTGGTTTTTGAATGTTATAATTCCTGACGTCTGATTTGTGTTTCTCTTAAGCACCATATAGACTTGAATAGAGAATTATATCCCTGCTATACAATTCTGTAGCATGGCTCAAAAACTCCTATAGATTCTCATTCTCTGTTACATTTTATAGGTTTTCCAGACTATTTCTGTAGAACTCTAGTGGTTCCATCCCTATTAAATTCTCAGACTGTCCTGTAAAGGATATTTTTCACAATAAACAGTTCTCTCTGCTGTAATGAAATATGTCTTCTTAGACAGCCTGATTCTCCCCCATGCACCATACACCTGCCTATACAAACACACGCCCCATATATACATCCCACTATTCCTGCACAACCACACACAAGCATGGGCAGGTGCTGACTTATCACACACACCATGGTATAACAAGCTACCACTGTCTGGGGCTGCAGGGAGAATGTCAAGCTGAGTCTCTGCCTTAAAAGCAGTCCAGGAACGAGAGCCACAAATGGGAGGATGAATGAGATGTCACTTGTGTTGGGATGCAATATTCCAATAGCAAGTCTGCATTATTTTTTGCTGCAGTGCCAAGCTTGTCGACTTCATTCCCCACCCCTGTGAAAATCAAAGCTTTGCTGGGACTCCCTTCCCCCTTTCCTATAGGTGCAGCACCACAGGGTCATAACAGTTCCATGGAAATTGTTCCTCCTCCCGATTAACAAACAAATAATTACGGCGCCTCCCCTGGGACTGAAGGCATTCGCTGATTGGTTCCATGTTTCATTGATTGGAGCGCTGTGATGAATCGGCCCCTGAGGAGCCGGCATTTGGCTGCAAACAGACATCATCAATGTGCAGAATTATAACAATTTCTGGCATTCAAGGGCCACCACAAGGAGGCAGGTGAAAAGAACAGCCATGTTGCCAACACTAGCGAAAGCTAGAGGAGGATATAACAGCTTGTTTGCTGAGGAGCTCACAGCGGCTCTCCAACAGGCCCAACCTCTTCCGGCAGGTGGCATTGTAAGGAACGGTGCTGGATGTGGGAAACCTCACAGCTACTCCAGTACCAGCCTCTCCCAGCAGGAGGTGCAGGAGGGAATGGGGCAGGGGCGCTGGCTCTGGGGAGCTCAGACACTGCAGTCCCAGCTTTTCTCAGCAGGACACACTGTAGGAACTCTGGCAAACAAGCTCTCTATGAGGAAGCTCCCCTCCAATCCCAGCCTGTCCCAGCAGGAGGCTCTGTAGGGAATGGCGCGGGAGCATTCTGTGTGGCGCTCACAGAAGCAGTGAGTCAGTGCTTTTGAAGGCCATCGACATGTTTCTTGCTGACTGTTTCTTCCTCGCTGTAAGTAACCCTTTCCTCTTTTCTCTTCCTTCCCACTCTCTCCCTACAGGACCTGGCACAGGGAGAGTAGACAACGGTTCAATGAGTTTGGCCGTACCACTGTGGCTGCTGGCAGTGTCCCTGCTCTGCCTACTTAGCAAATGTTAATAAAATCAAATTAAAAAAACCCAACAACAACAGCAACAATAACAACACACAAAACAAAGCGCGTCATACAGGAGACAGAGCGAAAAAAGAGGGGGAGAGAGAGAGGACTGGTTCTTTCACAACTTTTATGTGTTCAGGAGCAAAGGGGGGGGGCGGATTACAGCGAAGACGAATCAGCAACATTTATTCCGAATTATGACAAGACGTCTGTCAAGCCATCGACCACCCGGGAAGTGACATGGAGAGCAGGAGAGAACGGGGTGCTGGGTGGGGACCGCGTTGTGCCAAAGACGCCGAGATGTAAAAAAAAACACCCAACCAACCAGATTTCTTGTTTTCCCCCTTCTTTCCTTAGTCCTCTTTCTTTCGTCTTCTGAAAGAGAAGGTCTTTGCTGTGATGTTTATAGCCACTTAACCCCTTGATTCCCTTGGCCATTTGGTGAGCTGACTCTCCACCAGTTCAGACTTTTGGAAAGCAGTAATCCAGATCCCTTTTGCATACTGGTGTCCCACGAAGAAACCCCACGCCTCCTCCCCCCGTCCCTTGCACCCTCGTTGGCCCCTCCCTTATGTCCCTTCTCCTCCAGTACCTCCCTCTCTGCCCTGAGCTCAAGCTATGTTGACTATGCTACAAACACACTGTTTTTATTCTCCTCTTCTCCCCCTGTATTTGGCCGGGTGTCTCTGTCTCCCGTGTGTGTCTGTGTGTGTGTGTGTCTCTCTCTCTAAAGCATGCAAAGAGAATGGTCCATATGTACATAAGCTCATCATGCTGTAGATAAAGTTCTGCACCGTAAGTGTGAGACATGGTGCTGAGAGATCACTTGAGCAGATGTGGGGGGCGGGGAGCGCGTCAGTTGTGGCACTGGTTCAGATGGGACCCTGTCCCCCAGCTGGCTTTTGCCTTGACATCCTCCTGGCCGTATTGTTTGGAAGCGTCAATCTCCATACTTTTTTAACCGTTCTCTGATCAACCCCACCCAGCTGACACTCAGCTGTAGTGCATCAGAATAATGGCTCCTGCTTCATGTCTGTGGTTGTGTGTATGTCCAAACAGGTAGAAAATCAATGTGACTGATCTGTAGAACCATAGATGGCAGCACTTCGAGAGCACTGCTCCAGTACCCACTCCTGGGGGGTTTGGGAAGAGAGGTAATCAGCGAGGTAACTTGGGCTTTACTGATCTTCTGCACCTGTAGGTATGGCATGGCCATTAAATATCTCTTAACAGAAAAGCCTCCAAGTGGTAATCCATAACCATTCAGTTTGGCTATAGAAATGAACCTTTTGTCCCTCTGACCTCCTTGTTACAATCAAAGCAAACCTGTAAATGTCTCTCTCGGCCACCATGAAAATACCTAGACGGAGCTTCTTTAATTTTATGCTTTAAAGAAAATTCAAATTGGTTCAGAAAGTGGCCAGAACTTGGGACTGTAAAAAAGCTGGGGCCAAAATTCTTGGCATACAAGAAAGAAGCTTTGGGTGGCGCATTGAAGAGAGTTACAAGGGGATACACAGTGTGGGGAGGAGTATTTTATTGACCAGTATGTAACACGTCAAGGTTGCTAAGGTTGTTTCTAGACATCCTTGCCCTCTGGATGGTCAGAGGAGGAGGTAGTTGATGAAAGAAACTCTAGTGACACCTGCTGGAGAAGAGGTGGTGGATCTCAGAGTAGGTCACTTGAAAGAGAGTTATTGAAATGCTACCTATCTGCTGGAATCTGCCATTTCAACAACAGGTCCTGCAGGATGTGATGTAAGCAATGGGACACGTGCAAATCTGAAGAGCTTCACATATCCCATTGGCTGTACTGATCATCTGTGAAAGGGGACAGCTGGGTTAATGCACCAGTGTTTGTATCTGGCAACCTGTGTTTAAATACGCCTACGGTCACAAGTGCCATGATCTGGGTGTCCACAGCAGAAGATGTGTTGGGACTGCCAGTCCCTTCTCTTTTTCAGCAGAGCCTCTAGAACTGGTTTAGCAGCGGTGCTGTGGGTCAGGATTTAGGAGCTGCGCAGTGGCCTTTACTGTGTCCTACTCCAATTTCCTAGGCAGTAAAAATTCGCTTCTTTCCACCCCACCCCCCACAAATAAATACAATTCAGATCTGCCTGGAATTTGCTGTAAAAACTTAGGGGAGGTAGGACGGAAATCTCTCTGGCTTGAGCAGGCTTAAGAAAGGGGAGACTGATCACCAGAAAGCAATGAGTTAATTCTGTTTTGTGTTTCAGTCCTTCCCTTTACTCAGCTGAGACAAAATCTGCAAGAGGCTCCCTATTATTCAGGGCCCGCTCAACACGGCAGCGCTTACCTTGATCAAGCAGCTCAACAGCACGGCCTCTTTTCTGCTGAGCGAGGCAGTTTTGGGGCAGAGACAGACAATCAATTAAAGAGGCAGCCTGGCGTCTCGCAGCCAATAAGACTTGCAGATAAATATTAGTCTTTGAGTGTCTTTTAGGGGAGGAGAGCAGAGAAACGGGCCTGCAGGATGTCACCAGTCAAGGGAAGGGGGTTTTCCCCCATCCCTCAAGGTATGTGCTCAGCTCAAGGTGGGCTCTGCTGTGTTTTGGGATACTGGAGAATAATCCCCACAAAAATCACACCCCAGAATATGTGTGTGTGCTCCCTGATAACAGGTATGACACCATCACTGCTTGGGAGGGGCTTGAAATCATTCAGTGACCCAGAGTGAGGGCTCAGCTTTTGTTCTCTGGCGCAAGGGGCTAGGCGTTGTAACCTCTCCCGGTGGGACTGAATCCAGTGGGGACAGACAATGAGGCACAGACCTTCAGAGGTATGTAGGCGCCTGGCTCCCGTTGAACTCACTGGGCATTAGGCACCTAAATACCATTGAGAATCTGGGCCTTATCCTGTAAGTGACCTACTGACCATAAGCCCTGCAGAGTCTCTTAGGACGGGAGCCCTCTAGCCCCTGCTGGTGATTCTTTCTGAGTCTGATGGGTTTTGCTGTAGGGAGGGGAGTGATTCTACAAGTCCAGTAGCAGATATTGCACTTGGGGGACGGACTATGCACCAGCTCCCACATATTGGCTCATTTGATATTGTAGGGTTGCTCAGAGGTGGTGGGCTGCCCGCCCTGATTTGTTACTGCAGGGAGAATGTCAAGGGTTGTTTATGAGGACTGGGCTGAACACATTGTTTCATCAGTGTAGGATTGCTCAGGAGTGCTGAGCTGTACACACTGGTTTGTTATTGTAGGGTCACTGATGAGTTCGGAGCAGCACATATTGCTGTGTTATTGTACGGTTGTTCATGAGCACTAGGCAGCACACAGCGGTTTGTTATTGTATGGTTCCTCACAAGTATTGGGCTACTGGCAGTGAATTGTTTTAAATGTTTTTAGAAAAAAGAGCATGAAGCTTTTGTTTTGGGGAAAAAAACCACACACAACAACAACAACAAAAATCCCAGACTTTTGGAACAGAAAAAGACAAAGATGGTTGGGAGGAACCATTCTGTCTAGTGGTTAGAGCTGAGGTCTGCCAGTTAGGACTCCTGGGTTCTACTCCTGACTGTGCCCCTGACTCTTTGAGTGAGTCTGTGCCTCAGTTTCTCCTCTGTAAAATGGGGCTGGGGCGCTGGCTTTGGGGAGCTCACAAACATTGCAGTCCCAGCTTTTCTCAGCAGGACACAGTGTAGGAACTCTGGGGGGTAATAAGATTCACTCTCCAATACAACTGCTGAAAGGCATGATCAGTAGCGTTGGAATAATTTGTATAGTGGGTGCGTGGGGAGCCATTGAACCAAACTGTGAACCCTGGATATGATGGAAACCACTTCAAACTCGGGGATGCCGCTGTACCTCCAGCACCCCTGGGCATGATGCAAGTGCATAGTATTACAGCTATTTTGTTTGCTTCTGGGATCTCCACTCTTGACAGTGTCTGTCCCTTTAACTTGAGAGCTGGGGTGGGGGAATACTTATTTAATTTTTTTAACTGACCCAATCCTGCGAGTTGCTGAGCATCTCCTGAGAGGTCCTGAGCACCCACCATTTCCATTGAAGTCAATGAGGGTTGCACAGCGCCTCCCAAGATCAGGGCCATAGTGAAGAAGGGAAAAGGCATTTTCCTTGATCATTTCTTCAGCCCTGTGGATAATTACGTTGAAAAGCCATATCCGCCAGTGCAGAGCCTTTCTCCTGAGGCCACCCCAATGGCCCTGCTTCTCTGGCCCCCTCTCCCCCCTCCTCAAAATCCACTCACGTGTTTGCTGCCCTGCCCCTCAGTGGGATTTGGAATGGGACACCAGGTCCTTGAGAGGTGTAATTGTGTTTGATTGATGGAGGTTTAACATTTAGTGGTATTAAAAAAAAAGAGATTGTTTTTCTTCCACGAGTTTGTAAATATACGAGAGTGACATGAAATGGCCCCTAATGTCCAAGCAGCGGAACAAACGCTTCAATTTAATATATGGCCCCTCACTGGCTCGCAGATTTCTAACCCTTTTCAGGTTACCAGTGGGCGGGGGCAGGGGGGCAACTTTCTGAAAGGAAATGAACGGTGTGAACGCAGCCCTCTGGGGCCACCTGAACGCCATACATGATTGCAGCGTGTTGTCTGTATGTGTCTGGCTGGGTGAAGAATGAAGCAATGCATGGCTGTGAAATGCTGGGAAGGTGGGCGTGAAAATCTCCAGTTAACGCAGGTATCTCAGCATTATGAGCCTTTTCCAGACCACAACTTCCAGACACGTAGAGTAGCAATGTAGACCCCTGCTGTCTCCACCAACAAAGTTGTGTGGACCAGGGTTACCATCAGGGTCATGTTAACAGTGACATTAAACAGGTTTTTTGGTTCTTTGTGTAAACTGATTTACAGCCTGAGTTTACACCCCTTTACATCGCATTTACTGTTCAGGAATCAGGGGCAAAAGCCAATTTTCTCCCATGCCAGACCAAGAGTCAATCACAGAATGTTCAGAAGTCCACCCACCTACCCACCCCTGTTTCAATGCTCAGATTGGATTTCAGATACAGATGCATCCAGTCCATGCACCTACGTACCTTTCTGAGCATCCAATTAAGGTGCCCTTGTTTCAAAACTGAGGCCATGGCATTAACTTAGTAAACTTCATTTTTCACACATTTTCCAGGCCATGTAGAAGTAGCAAGTCTGGAAGGAAATTTGGGGCAATGACCGAGGATTCATGGGCATTTGGGGGAGTGGAGCTGGGGAGAGTTTAACCTCACTCTCAGCCCTTCCACAAGAAGACATTTTGGTCAGGCCTTCACATATTGCTTATTTCCTTCACATTGTCTTATGAAGGAATCCAGGTGTGTAGTAAGGAAGTGTTTCCTCTCCCAAGTCTAATAGTACAATCCATGTCCTCTGCTCCAACCCCACTGACCCATGGCCAAAATCTCATGGTGCTTGACATCACACAGCAAACCACACCAAATGGTGCCATGGAATACAGTCTTGGGGAGGTGAGGCAGAGCTGGAAGTTCTAAGTCTCCCTCCTGAGGGTGGCAAAAGCTTATTTCATTTTTGACAAGTACACAGAAAAGACTGTGAAAAGAGGCCCCTCCCGTGAGGAGCAGAGTGGTGGGGGCAGGAAGAGAGAATTAAACTAGGAGATGGTCTCCCAGGCTATGTCGTTAATAAAAAAGTTAGGGCCATGTGCTGTTCGCAATCCATGCACAGAATTCCCAGCCACATCAATGAGGAAGACCATTGGCTCTCAGCATTGTTTCAAAGGGGTATATTTCCAGTGTGGTGCCTCGGAGAGTTAGCTGCATGACTCCTCTGGACATTAAGAGGTGTGTCCAACTGTTGAACCATCCCCCTGTTCCCCTCTATTTAACATGCTGGGGAAAGTTCCCTTCCCACCTACATCTTACAGTGGGACACCTCAGCATGGTTTCTATGGGGGTTATTGTGTTCACTTGTTTTCCTATCTCACTAGCTCAGCGGGGAGGAAATCATCTTGGTAAGGATGCCAGCAAAATCCCCTATCCAGGCATGGCTTGGGGAGGCACCTGTATGGCAAGCCAGCCACCCTGAAAAGAGCAAGGAAAAGAGGACATCCCCTCTAAATTAGCCCAGGAAATGGAAGGTAAAGGGCCCTTACCTCATTGCAGGTTCAGCTTAGCTAGTGCCACCAAAAGGTCCTGCAAACCTTTAAGGAGTACACGAGACAGTAGAGGAAGGGAGGGTGCTCAACAGTCAGGACAGGCTTACAGAGCTGGTGGTAGGGCTGACTTCATGGCAAGGCTGTTTGGGGAGCACATTAGGGGGCAAAGGTCCTATCCAACAAAGGAAGTCTCCAGGCGGGGCAGGGAACTACCTCTCCCCAATTTGTGTATATCTTCAGCTGACTTCCCGAGCCCCGTGAGGAACGTGCGTTGTGATACCCTAATTGGGGCCCCATCCATCAACACCTCAGCATATCCGTGAGAACAGAGGGATTGAACTGAGCCCTGCTATCTGTCCTCAGTCAAACCCTTTACTTCCCTCTAAGAATGCCTAGCACCTCTTATGGAACCTGAGTATGTGTATGTGTCTACATCTAGGCCGCAAGGAGCAAGACCACCTAGGAAACTATCCACAAGGAGAGAACTTCCCAGCTGAGGAGTGTCTTCCAGCTCTGAAGTTATTTCATTTGCTCCCTCTTTCAGTCACACAGATAATCATCCCTCCCGATATCCCTACAACACACACATGCCACCTTCCTCCAAAAATCCCTCACACAGCCACCACACCACTCTCCTTTCCCAGACCCCCCGGTGACACATGCAACATGACACACACTTCTCAATTTGCTTTTAGCAATTTGTCTATAGAAAGCCATCAGCTGCATGGTTTGTGGTGACTTTCTACAAACAAGGAAAGGGTGCGGGGGGAGGGGAGAGTAAAAATTGGCTCCACCAGCTGCCCCCAAACCTTTCAATTTCCTCAGCTGGAGCTAAGTTTCATCCTCCAAGCCTTAGGGAGGAGGTCCAGTGTCCCTTCTTCTTGCTACACAGTGGGGTGGTTAGAACTCTTCTCATTAACAGTGTTATATACATATAAATATATATATATATATCTCTATATCTTTATATATATTTTTCCCCAGCACCGTAGACATGAGCTGAATGTCTCTTTAATGAAACAAGAACACGGCCATTTTATTTTTTGCCATTGGTTTGTTTTCAGATACTAGCTCTGTGGAAGAAAATTTTAAATGCGCAAGTGTGTGTGTGTTAAAAAAAAAGAAGAAAAAGAAGAAGAAGGAAAAAAACAAAACAAAACCTGACACCAACAAAAAGCTTTTTCTTTTTTCTTTCCTCAATGTATTTAACTTCTGTTATCTTGTTTCTGTTTCTTTACATGTATGAATGCTCTGCTCTTCTGTGATCTTAAAAAAAAACAAACAAAAAAAAAACACAAACAAAAACTAAATAAACGTGAAAAGGAAGAAATGCACCTTAATTTCCCTTCCCTTCCCCTCACACATAGTTTTGAGCCCATGGCATTAACTTAGTAAACTTCATTTTTCACACATTTTCCAGGCCATGTAGAAGTAGCAAGTCTGGAAGGAAATTTGAGGCAATGACCGAGGATTCATGGGCATTTGGGGGAGTGGAGCTGGGGAGAGTTTAACCTCACTCTCAGCCCTTCCACAAGAAGACATTTTGGTCAGGCCTTCACATATTGCTTATTTCCTTCACATCGTCTTATGAAGGAATCCAGGTGTGTAGTAAGGAAGTGTTTCCTCTCCCAAGTCTACACCTGGTGCCATGCTTTTGTACCGAAATGGCCGGTGGATATACACAACTAGTGCCCTCTATTGGATGGAATGAGAACTGTTAATTCATACATCTTTGACCTTGATGTGATGACCTTCCGTCACCACCGCCACCACCACAGGGTTGGCAGCAAGATTTCAGCCTGGCACAGACCCCATGAACTAAAGGAATAACTCCGGTGGGGGGGGGGTAGCAGTAGCAGATTATTCTTTATGTGAACAAGCCACTAGAGAGGGATGCAGCATATGTTTGAGAAGGTTGCTATACAAAGAGAGAAGTCTTTAAACCACGATTTGAGGACTTCAATAGCTCAGACATAGGTGAGAGATTTTTCGCAGGAGTGGTGGGTGAAATTCTGTGGCCTGCGTTGTGCAGGAGGTCAGACTAGATGATCCTAATGGTCCCTTCTGACCTAAATATCTATGAATCTATGAGATTATCCGCTAGCTCAAGCTGTAAGAGCAGCCAATGCCAAAGGAACTGACTGTTGCACTGAAGTTCCACATGGCTATGGCTTGCAGCACTGTGATAACTATGAAGTCCTTAATGGCCATGGATTTGCAGTGAAAGGCACAGGGAATGTGTGGGATCCCCTACGCAAACTATCCAAAGATTTTTCAACATGCTGTTGTGGAGCACAGAGAGACCTGTGTCCAAAGTCTACACTCATAAGGGTATGCAGGGCTAGATCTTGCTCCCACTGATGCAGATGACAAAACTTCCAGTGAGATCAGGATAATATCCTGTGTTAACCACAATGATGGGTATGCACACTGTCTCAACCAGTTCTTAAGACTTTCCATCCAGCATTTTGTCCCAAATGGGATTCAGGATGCCAACTTCCCCCTCTTCTCCCACCTGGGACACTGAATGTTTCCATGCCTCTTCCCCTTCTATGCCAGCAACCAAGTTTGTCGTTGGGGGAGGGGGCTCTGCAGGACAGGATCTCTTTGGAATTCAGTGGGCAGTATGGTGGGCCCTGCCCTCTGCAGCAGAGTTAATGAGGGTATTTGCTCAGTCTTGCAGCCTGCAAGGGGCTTTCTGAGATCCCCCAGCAAATGCATTCATTTAATTTGAATTTTGCAAATGGCCCCTTGTGGCGTGCGACTCGTAGGGGTGCCAACTTTCTACTCGCACAAAACCGAACACCCTTGCCCTGCTCCTGCCCCATCCTCCTCTGAGATCCCGTCCCTGCCCCGCCCCAACCCATGTCCGAGGCCCCTCCCCCACTCACTCCATCCCCCTCTTTCTCTGTCGCTCGCTTGCCCCACACTCAGTCGCTCATTTCCACCAGGCTGGTTCAGGGGGCTGGGGTGCGGGGGTAGGTGAGAATTCTGGATGGGGGTGCAGGTTCCGCGGTGGGGCCAGAAATAAGGAGTTCAGAATGTGGGACGGGATTCCAGGCTGAGGCAGTGGGTTGGGATGCGAGGGGGTGAGAGCTCTGGCTGGGGGTGCCCTGGTGTGGGGCCAGGGATGAGGGCTTTTGGGAGCAGGAGGATGCTCCAGGCTCGGATCAAGGGGTGAGAGGATGGGAGGGGGATCAGGGCTGGGGCAGGGGGTTGGGCTGCAGGGGGGCTAAGGGGTGCAAGCTCCGGGCGATGCTTACATCAAGCAGCTCCGGGAAGCAGCGGCATGTCCCTTCTCCGGCTCCTATGCAGAGCCACAGCCAGGCGGCTCCAAGTGCTGCCCTGTCCGCAGGCGTTGTCCCCGCAGATCCCATTGGCTGCGGTTCCCGGCCAATGGCAACTGCAGGGGTGGTGCTTGGGGTGGTGGCAGCGTGCGGAGCCCCCTGGCTGCCCCTACATGTAGGGGCTGGAGCGGGGGACATGCCAGCTGCTTCCCAGGAGCTGCGCAGCACGGAGGCCAGCAGGGAGGCTACCAGCCCCACTGCACAGGGTGCTGCCAACCAGACAGTCAGCATGCAGTCACCTGGTCAGCAGCGCTAACCGGATCTGCCATGATCCCTTGTTGACCGGGTGTTCCGGTCTAAAACTGGACACCTGGTCACCCTAGCGACTCGGCACAGAACAGCCACCTCCAGGGAGGGATGGGGAAGAACTCCTGTGGGGAAGTTACTCATAGACACAGAGGAGTCCAGCGCAGACAGGGCTGGAGCAGAATGAAAAGCGCACTTAGGGTATGTCTGCACTGCAGCTGGAGAAGAAGTAATTTCCAGCTCAGGTAGTCATACCGGTGCTGCCGCTGAGCAAACTAGTGTGCTAAAAATAGCCTGGCAGACCAGCGCTGTGAGCAGCCAGATGGGCTTGCCCCCCTCAAGTCTGCCCCTAGGGGTTCAGACAGATTTATACTTGGGGCAGCCAGCCCATTGCACCATCATTTCTATTTTTGACCTCCTCACTCAATCAGAGCTAGCAGGGGTATGTGTCCTCCCCTCCACAATGGGTCAGGCTGTGCTCCTCCCCCTCCCCTCTTGTGAATAGGGTTGCCAGTTTTGGTTGGAGGTATTCTTGGAGGTTCCATCACTTGACATAATCTTGAATTAAAGATTAATCTTTAATTTCTGGAGTCTCCAGGACAATCCTGGAGGATTGGCAACCCTATTTGTGAACAATGGGTCAGTCTGTGCTCTTCCCCCCGCCCCTGTAACCATGGGTCGGTCTACGCTCTTCCCCACCCCTCCTGTGAACAATGGATCAGTCTGCGTGCTTTCCCCCGCTCCTGAACAATGGACCAGTCTGCTCTGCGCTCCTCCTCCTCACCTCTGTGAACAATGGGTCAGTCTGTATGGTTCTCCCCAGCCCTCCTGTGTGCAATGGGTCAGCCTGCTCTGTGCTCTTCCCATCCTTGCAAGTTGTGCAACACCAGGGCTGGGAAGGGGAAGGGGAAGGGGAGGGGGAGAGGGAGGGGGAGGAGTTCACCCTTGCAGTTGCTCCCCCCAGGCCTGGGCAAGGTGACTGAAGACCCCCAGGAACTGCAGAGGTTGCACTGGGGGAGAGTAAGAGGAGATGCAGAATTGTGTG